ACTGCTGCTGCTGCTGCTGCTGCTGCTGCTGCTGCTGCCGCTGCTACTACTACTACTACTACTGCTACTACTGCTACTACTGCTACTACTACTACTACTACTACTGCTACTACTACTCCTACTCCTCCTGCGACTGCTGCTGCTGCTACTACTACTACTACTACTACGACGACGACTACTACTACTTCTACTTCTTCTACTACTACTACTACTAGTACTACTATGCTTTGCTCTACCACTCCTACTCCTCGTTACTCCCCCGTGTTGGGGTTGCTCCGGGAATATTGGAGGCTTTCGGCATCATCGTCTGCATGTGTTCGGTGTCTTGGAATTCTTGATTTAGACTTAGACGTGAGTCAGTCAACAAAGTTCAACGCTCCAGTTCAAGGTCCTAGTCTCTGAAGCTTCCCCTCGATGCACAACATCCAATTATCAAGCGAGCGGCATCTTGAGGAACAGGAGCAGAAACCGACAGGTAACGCTGCCGCGGAAGTGGCGATCCTCCAATACGGGCTTCTGTGATCGTTCATAGTACAGTCGGAAAAGGATAGAACCAATAATTAACAGCAGAAGGGCCGCGATCTGGTGCCTTCTGACACGAGTGAGCCCAAAAAATGCTAGGCATCAAGAGTGCTGTCTATGTAAGCCTGACTCCCAGGAGAAATCGTGGGTTGCCGGGCTTGTCTTTATGCAAACAGAGGAGAAGCGACTGCCTCTAGACACACAAAGACATCGAAAGATACTTAACTGAGCCGGTTTCCACTTCAGAGTCTAGCAGGTGCCACGAATTAAATGCCTCACCCTGCGCACGGAACAGGCTACAGCCTGCAACAGCCTTTTTGCGTGCACCTTCGGCATACGGAAGAGTGTTTCTTTTCAACCCGTGCTGAGCCGAGGCTTGCGACGGAATTGACATGTCCACAGCACAGCTTACTTCCACAGCAAGCCACGCTGTGGCATGCTACTGGCTAGCAATTACACAATATCAAGAACATATCTATGCTTCCCAAGAAAACGTCTGCTAGAGCATGTGTAGGTCTCCGATGGTCTCCGAACCCCGCAAGCTTTGTATACTGACGTATGTCTATACATCCGAACCCGCGGATGCCCCGAATCCCAACAATTCTGTTTTTGCCAAGACGACGACGACGTTACACCCTGAGCTTAAATCTTCGTCAATGCTTTCTTTTCGTGCTTGGCCAATTTTCCAATTCATTTTTGATGCTTGTGCCCCGCGGAAGAGAAAAAGCCTCTTGACAGTCTGTCGGGAAAGTACAACTCCCAAACAAGCTGAAGCTCTCGCCTCGAAGGCCAATAGCCACGGATAGACATGCCCATATCCTCAGCAGCCAACTATCTGGCTTGCCGCGGCAGACGAGAGCAGAAGGTGATTCTTGAAACAAGTCAAAATGCGGTATTGCAGCTGAGCCAACCGGTGCTGATTGCGATAGACGTGCGACTTGCGGCCCGCAAGGATGCGTGGTGGTTTCACTTGCAAAGATGCCTTGCCAAGCATCGGGTTGAGAAAATGGCCACGACATGCCTCAGCAAAGAAGCCAATCCACATCAATGTACACAAATCTCTATCACGAGCGTTCACGACCAGACGCAGTGCCTACTGCCGACTGCTCACTGGAAAAAATAAAATGATCCGCCTGAAGGGTGAGCTCAGATAGTGCCGCACTAGCTGCATCAGCACGGAGAAGCAACTGATCAGCAGCGTTGTAAAAATCAGCACCTGTTAAATCCGTGCACAACATCAAGAAGGTATCGCTTGCTTTCGCTGCTACATTCTCTCCACTATCGTCAGAGCTGGCCAACACTCTCACGGGAAGCCCCGGCTCCAGAAAGGCAGGCAGACAACTGCAAGCGCCTGGCGCTGCGCATTCAGCTGCTCTTCGGTCACCTGTTGCAAAAGTCGCAGACATCGCTGCGCGCTGACTCTCGAATATGCTGCCCACATGTCTCTCTCTCTCTCTCTCTGCCGTTGCATCCAGAGGGTCTAGCAGCGCTAGGCAACACGTGAGGGCCGATTAGCCCCGCACAAATGAAACAGCAAGCCGCAACTCAAGCAGCAGTCAATGCCGACACACGCCAGGCACGGACCTCTGCCTTCACCTTGACGGCCCACTCACTGCTCAACGGAGGAACCCGCAATTCTGGCTGGAATTGACCGCAGAGTCCCCATGCCGCTGGGCATGGAGGCTTCGGGGACCGACTCAGCTGGGAAGCCTTGACACTCGAATTCCACATGTTGCTAGACCACGTCCGCTTGAAAGGCCTGTTGCGGAGTCCCTTTGAAAGGCCCTGCAGCCCGACACTGCACATCCGACCTCCTCGAACGAAGCAGCGAAAATCACCATGGTGTATGCATCGCTCGCACCGGCGAGGAAGTGGACAAGCATGCCTGGCGCATCCAGACGGCATGCAGCAGAGCAGCAGCCTAACCAATGCCCCGAAACCTCTCGGCTAAAGAAGGGCTTCTGCGTGGTTTGTGCACCATCGCGCCTGTGGCCATCCCATGCTGCACCCGCATATAGAGCGGCAACAGCACTTTTGGCATCCGGCTCCGCTGGCCCTGCCAGCAAACGCTCAGGGCTTGGGCACGCGCGCACCCGGACAATGTCCAGGTCAGGTAAGCAGCAACATGCAACCACGTTAGAAAAACAAAACGACGCGATGCCCTTCGTGTGAGAGGAAGCTCGAAAATCGAAAGCTGACTACACTTACACATTCTGGACGGCGTAAACTAAGGCCATACCTCGCAACATGTTCTGCGAATTCTTGCTCTGATACTGGGCGGGACATGTCCGGCCTCCAGCACTTTGGCCTGGCAGTACAGGATAGGGTGTCTGGGCAACGGCAAGAGCTTCAATACAGGATCGAGCTTGGCGGGACCAGGGGCGCTTTCTTCAGCTTCAACAACGCTGGCATGCCAGAAACAGAACCCTGCTTTCTCAGAGTCCCAGCATCAAGGTAGCCTATCTACACTCACGTGAACCCACTGAAGAAACTTTGAGCCTCGGTGGGCAGGTCCTGGTAGCCCTGCTGACCTCAGCTCTCGGATCCCGGATCGCTGTTGCTCAAAGTCTCTCTCTGCTACAACTGCTTTAGTCATTAGTCCGTGTGTTTTAAGAGCAACGTTGATCACGCACACCGATCTTGACGATTTTGGGAAACGAAGGGTCGCCTGTGTGAAAAAGGAGACAAGATGCAAGATTGTGCTACAGAGAATACCAGCCGGCACACGAAGGATTTCAGCTGCCAGGATGGCGAGGCAGATTCCCATGTGGAGGCTCACCCAAGTCCAGTACTCCTGCATGCGGATGGCGGCAGTGGGTGTTCCATGCTTCGTTGCTAGGACATGGCGCAGGAAAGCACAAAGTGATCAAAGGGCTGTAAAGGGCTCCGCAAGAATTCAACATTCGGCGGGCTTCCGAGATCGGGTCCTTTGCAAGGGCTCGCCACTACCCAGCTGTTTCGGGAAATACCTTAACCATTCGTGGCTGTGAAAACCTTTCATCCCCAAGCCGTCAGAGCACATCGACCCTCCATGTACTTGCGATGCTGATGATCACAACTTCGGGTTGATACCGTTGTACTGAATTTGGGCAGAAAGCAGGCTTGTAGCTGTCGAACAAACTTGGACTTAAAGCCGGCCGTTTCTCGTGATTCACTGATGCACAGCAAAAACCATCAGTTTCCGGCAGGATGCCATCATGCCAGCGAGACAACCAAGTGGCTCTTGGCCCTTGACTTCCAACTCGACCACTTCTCGACCCCTTTCTCTAGGCACCATTGAGTCGTGTTGGGAGGATGCCATGAGGCAGACATCGCCACAGATGCTCAGTCCGTCTATGCAGCGATCCTTCTGTGGTCCTTGGGGCCAATTGGCCTCAAAGGGCCCAGAAATCTTCGTGCTCATCTTAGGCTTCTCTTTCCGGCATGCATCCCCAAAAAAAGTCAGGGCTATAGCGTCCCGACCGTCAGATGTCGCGATCCGACATATGAACACATCAGCATCCAATGCCTCGAAAAAGCTGTGAAGCTTCAAACACATCTCATAAAACTGGCTCATCCGTCTGCGGATAGAACGGTAGCACTGATCGAGTACCACTGGACTACCACAGCTCGCACCTTCCTCACCATACATCATACAATCATACACTGTATCTTCTTGCGCGAAGAGTCTCCACGGGCTGGCCGAAACTGGCAGGTCGAGGTGTTCAGCGACTCAAGCGGTTGGTCCTCCTTTATCTGCTGCTATCAGTTCGTCGCCATGCGGGAGGGCAATCAGAATCCCAGACTGGGCTGGCAGTACCGGCACTACCCAGCCTGACAAGATTCACGCCCAAATGCGGTGTCCCTGAAAAGTGTCCGACAATACACTGCATCCACAGTTGGCCACTAACCATCGGCATGCTCCTCTGGGCCACATGGGCAAACCTCCAGCTGCACAACCTCGCTGGGATCGTCGCTCACCGTCAGTGGAACTCGCCCACTTTGGCTCGAGAGGAAGAGGTTCGGCCAGAAAGCCAAATGAGCAAGATCACACAGATGTCTAGTATCCACCGGCAGCTTCCGGCGTTCTCTTGTCTTCGGATCAGAGAGGTCGTCTCCGGTCCAGCTCATCCGAAACGGTTCACCAGAACTGTGAACGTGTCCTCGTGAGTGCTTGTGCCACCTTTCTGTAGCTGATGCCTTTTCGCTACCGGAAACCGTTCGTCCGACCACATTGGCTCATCTACTGCCGGCTGCAAGGCATGAGAATGCTGCTGTCCGCAGCAAGGAGCTGCGGCTGTCACCAAAAGGTTCCAGGGGTTCGGTGGTTCTTGGGCTGCTTTGGCTTCATGCCCTATTCTGCAAACGGACTTCGGACCTAGTGGGAAAGATCCAGGCCTTGTTCGATGTGGCAATGAAGCCCAAGAAGGTCACGGACTCGTTGGAAAAGCTGTACTCCTTTGCCTGGGATGCGCACGTCGAGTGCAAACTCCCGTCGGGAGCAAACTCCCAGGACAGCAGGTGCTAAAGACAAGCGGTTTAGACGGCGACGGGGTCATCCGAACAAGCTTGTCCAAGCCGTTGGAAGCAAGAACATCGTACAGGCAATTGCCTGAATTGGACTCCGGATGTTCCAGCCTGCAAGTAGTCACAACAGAGAACCAGAGAACCACAAATCGATAAAGGGGCACGGCACGATGCGTGTCAGGATCTCCGCTTGCAGCATCAATAGGATCCTTTGAAAATGCAAGCCGGGACTTGATCCAGAGCTGACCGGATTCTGGCAAGCAGCATCAAGAAGGGCGTAAGCAGCCTGTGGATGGGGTGGCCACGCTGCCTGGCTGAGGAGCTTGTGGCATTCAACTCTGCTTCTTCTTCACAAAAAGGGGTGTCGACCCCACAACCTCACCTCACACCTCTGACTGCCTGCGGCCTAAGTGTGTACGCAGACCGTCTCTGCGGCAATCCTTTTCCTTCTTTGCAGGTGACCGGAAAGCAAGAGACTTGGTGTGATCTGCACCGACTTGGGAGCACGCAGCTTGCCGGCCTTTGGCTAGGCCCAGGCAAGATGAGCAAGCCGAGCAAGGTTCCAACCGCCGTCAAAATGTCCAAGCTTTCGAGGTCCTTGCTGCATATACTCAAACAACGACCATGACAAACCACGGAAGCAATTGAACGGGTCACGAGGGACTAACAACCTGCCAATGCCTCGTGCCAGGCAGTTAAAGGTAGTTGGCAATGCGAAGTAGCACACAGCAACAGAGATCAGCAAGTGGTTGCATCACATGTGAAAGCCTTCCAAACTGCCTGCAAGGCAAATCCCAAGTGGCCCAAGGTGGTGGCAGAAGGAGGGCTGCAACAACCAAACAGACCTCGGCTTGCGAAGCATCAATCGCGGGCCGTTGCGCCCTGGCTGCCCTCAATGTGCTGTCACAGCCGCAGAGCCGCCCAGGGCGGCGATCCGACTCACCGAAAACTCCAGGCCCAACCTTTCCATGCGGGGGTGTGCGGTGCAGTCATCGAGGCACTCTCCCGGGCCTGCTGGAAGCACGTGAGGCCACCGACCCGGCATCCATCTCGAAGACTGCGATTATTGTGGTTGTAGGAGTTGTGGACCCACCCTCCTCGACACATGGCACCAGGGCTCCAATCGAATGAACTCAACCTGGTACATGCTCGAGGCCTCCTGCTCGTCGACTGGAGGGTGTTGCTGTAGCTCCACAGGCTGGACACCTCAGCTCTCGACCCAAAGCCAGCCTTTCACACGACTTAGATGTCTTACAGTCCTGAACAAGTCTTCAGAAGGGGCCTACCAGGTCACTCGTCCCAAGGGTCGAAACGCTATTTGCAAATCTCTTCCATGGACAAGCCTGACAGCCATTGACAGCATGCGTGAAGTCGAGGCCCGGGAGGAGTGCTGCTTTCATGTGCACCACTAAGCACTTTCAGAGAGCTGCCGAGTCCGAGAGAAATCATGCAAACCCATTCCAGCATGGACAAAAAAGGCCCAGCTGCCCCGGCCAACGATCAGAGCTATCAGAGCCAGCACAGATGCCATGGGCAGCGCCACCCATGCAGAAAATGTGAACCAGGTCCTGGGATCGTAAGTGCTTCGTTGCACTACAGCACTGCGTGACAGGTGTGTAAAACAATCTAGGACTTGGAGCTTCTTCACGCTCCTACTCTGCAAAGCATGTTTTTTTGGAAGAGATACTACGGTTGCTTCAAGATTGCCGCCGTTGTTGGTGCCATTACTCTTACAAAACCTTTAAATCTGCACACAGCTTCTGCAAATACTGTCTCAGCTGATGTAGAGGATTCTTAACTCCGCGCTCCTTTAACACGGACAGCCAAAGTTTGCATGTGACGAGGGCACGGAGTTATTAGCTTCACTCTTCCGATATTGGCTACTCTTCTTTCTGGTACATATATTCGCCGTACAACCTACTGCAGAGAACGAGCCCTTGTCAGCCTAAAACCGGCTCAAGGGCCTTTCTTCCTTCCTGGTTGGTAGCCGACAGCCCCACTTCACAAGTGCAAACGAACGTGCATCTTTGCAAGCGGGGCACATGTAGAAACATCCACCTGCAGGGAGGGCAAGATCCTAATCGCAAACTGCAGGCCTGTAGCCGGCGCTGAAGGCTGCCCTTCGCCTTGCCCCACGGTAGAGAGCCAGCCATGTCGGCAGGGCTGGCAGGAAAGCTCCCCTTCTGGTGAGTACTCTCCCGAGCTGCACTTAGACCTGCAGAACGGGCCAGGAGTGCAAGTCAAGGCAGCCATTGCCGAGCACTGCAGCTGCCAAGAACCTGTTGATCTTGCTGCCGGGTTGCTTGGCTCCGTCCTAGCTGCGATTCTATGATCAGGATACATCACACTTGCTTGACAACAGCCGGCCCATGTAGCCGTCAGGGAGCTGTCTCGTGGTTTCTGGCTGGCAGCGAAAGTGACATAAACGCCCTGTTCAAACGCAGGTCACTGGTGCCGAGCTGCCCAATCGAAGAAATGAGATCCCACCTGGTGTCGACGCAACGATGCATGCAATGGGCCAACAGAAGATGTTGAGATGCCAGGACACCAGTAGGCCAGTTGCCAGCACGTGGATTTCCTGGATCGTCGACCTCGCACTCCAAGCATCCCCAAGCCCACGATTTAAGGGATTATGGTTGCCACAGTAGGTCCACTAGCACACCCGGTGAGCATGTGGCAAGGCCATCTCCGTCCTCATTGCCCTCGAGCGACTGGTAAGTAGGCAGCGTCACATTCGGCGGGATCTCTTCCGAGTCACTGCCCCAGCTCGAGAAGCTCTTTCGACACTCTGAATCCGCCGCCTTGCCAGCATCAGGCTCGTTGCATTCAGGCCGCACAGGTGCCGACACAGCCGTTAAGGTCAAGCCTTGCAACATGCCAATAGGGCAACACACCATCATGACCGCAGGCAATTCGAACTCCAGCATGCTTGCGACAAGATACTACTTTGCTAGGCTCGACGTAACTTGGAAGCATCGGCACGACCCTGACTGCATCTCACCCTGCCTTTCCCACGAGTGCCTGCAAGTCAAATTGGAAGAACTCCTGCTTTCAAGGCCGCTCAGACTGCCAAGACCCAAACTTGATGCACTATCGCTCAGGACCCGCTTGCTGTTTGAGTTTAAATTCCCACCCCCGAGAGATGTAGTACGATCCCGGCCCGCGAGATTCGGTCACCCTGGATCTGGTGATGTGCCACTAGGACCAAACGGCCAAAGCAAGGCAATGCGGGGCTACAAACTACGACGAGCGGCGATTGAATTGCCCATGGCCACCGCAACGCCAGCTCGGTCAGGCAACCCCAACCTGTCTTCCCAACCGACACGTGCTGAGTCTCTCACCGGGCACCGGTCATGGGATGAACGAGAAGAACAAAAAAGCAGCAAGAAGAAGGTAGAGAAGAAGAGCATGAAGCCAGCCTTAGAATCTTAGAACAAGACGAATAGATCTTGAACAGCCTGGGAAAGCAGGGAAACTGCGGAGTCGCGTCGCCCTCAGCCGGTGCAACACAGCAAAAGCATTCAGACTCCAGGCTGACCCACTGTAGCGAACCAACTGGGACATCAAGAGAAAACTCCAAGACACGGAGCACAGAGGAACTTGAATCTCGCACGTGTTCAGAAAACTCCAACTGCCCACTCAACGCCAGCCATGCACATGGTGCGAAACATAGCTGTGCTACTACATCTATCTGCCCGGACCGAGTTTCTACTCCATGATGACCAGGAAGCACGGCTGACGGCGAGCCGTCAGGAACTCGGAGCTGGGTGATACGTCCTGGTCAGAAAACGATTGAAAATTCACGACCATAGATAGGAATGAGAAGCACTTGTCGCCATCGCCGGCCAAAGCGTCTCAAGCATCGCTGCTCGAAGTCCACAGAAAGAATCCTGGCGGGCAGTTTCAGAGCGGCGTATATAGCTCAGAGAGACACCGGAGTGTATTGGGCGAGCTCAAGGCGTCAAAGGTAACAAGAGATCTTGGCCTCCGATCCCATGTCTGAACCAAAGCTGGCTTCTGCGACTGCGCGCAAGACTGACCACCCACCACCACCACCACCACCACCACCACCACCACCACCTCGCCGCAAATCATCATTGCCATCATACATACGTGCATGCATGCATGCATACATACACGCATACACACGTGCCTGCATATTTACATGCATGCAGCCATGCAGCAAGGGCCATGCATGCATACGTGATCATACGTGCATACTATACATACTGTCGGAGCGGAGAACTACTGTGTGAGGCCCAGTTCGTCGTCACACGCATGTCATACGCTAATTCTGGAGGTCACAGTGCTTTGCAGCTCCATCAGGGATGGCCAAGAAGTTTTTCTAAGAAAGACGCGGTTTCGATTCCAGGATGAAGAAAGATCAAGCATTCCAGCAGCCGGAGGTCTTGAGTAGGTGAATTGTCGAGGCATGTCGAGGCCTTTTGAGTAGCAAGATTGAAGCTAATGTCAATGCCTTCGTTGTGTTGCCTTACAAGAACATGGCATATCCCATCAGAGCATGGCCTGGCCTAGCCTAGCATAGCATGGCCCAGCCTAACCTAACCTAACCGAAATTAACCTAACCCAACCCAAACCCCAACCTAGCCTAGCCCAACAGAATATAGCGTTAATTACATAACGGCTGCATTACATAACTCGACATGACGTGATGTGACGTGGCATGAGACAAGGAGACAGATGACATGAAATGCACACGCGCACGACAAGCCCAAGCATCAAGAACATAGCAACCTGTCGCAGTAAAGCAGTGCTCAGGACACCTGTTGCCGTCCCCGAGAGGGCTGTGCTCTTCAATTCATCGTTCCTAACAAAGCTTGCAATCGATAAGATCAGCCAGCAGCACAGGACACCACCAAATTGCAGTGATACCGCGAGCACTGTCGGCGTCAAGGCAGCCACCCTGAAGCAGGGTGGAGGCAACTCTGGTCTGCAAGGATGTTATCAGATCGCATCGCAAAGAAACCAGTCAAGTCTAGTCAAGTGTCGAATAGATCACGGCTTCGAAGGTGACTTCGATTTCGGGTGCTGCACCGGCCTCGCAGTTTGTCGGCATGTATTCTTGGAAATCATAGCTGCAGTGTCAGTAGTATCCTCTTGTGCCCCGACAGGTGCAAACCGACTTGCTTGAAACTGGGCAATAGCCCTGCAAACACGGTGGCTGTCAACGCGTCCACACTGTAAAATCTCAGCGCCCCATCGAAGATTTGGTAGGTGCTGGCCACCTCGCAATTGGACGAAGGAGGGGTGGGACAGGGGATTTGGCCCTGGCCAACACGGCACGACTAATATTGCCACGGATGGTTTTCCACCTGCCGGGTCCAGGGAGCAAGGTATGAAACATGCAATGATTCCCTGTCCCTCATCTCTCCTACTCATTAGATATACCTGTCCATAATCATCCTCGAGATTGACGGACAGGATCGGGGTCTTTAGCGCAGGAGAGCCGCTAAGAAGTAGTCGCCGAGGACTGCTGTTCTCAAAATGTCGCCGCGGAAAGACGCCTTGCCTGCGGAGCACAAAGTTTTCCACGTTAGTAGCGAAAACATGCGCCGGACCGGGCATTCACAACTCCGTCAGCAAGAACAACCCCAAGTCTCAAATTCATGCGAATTCTTCTTTCGGAAAAGCGGTGCACTCCAGCCACCTATCAGCTTCGGCTGCACCATGTCTGGTGCGACCTGGTAGAGCTGCAACCTGCCACCAGTCTCTGCCTCCGAAGATTTATGGAGAAAATCGCAGGAAGGCAGCCGCTGTGGTCTGACACTACTCTGGGCAAAACGCGCTTGGAGAGAAGCTGGAGACAGAGTCAACGAAGCTAATTCCAGGATCTGCCCGGCTTTACCGCGATGAACTCAATCCCAACCACCTGGCCGTTTTTGGAGGCGAACGCCACCTGTACACATCGCTAGTCAGAAGCCACGCCAGCCCTAACCCTAAAACCTTGCGGACATGAACAACCACGAGCAATGTGCTGTGAACAGATCTCAATCTCAGGTTGAATCTATGCTTGTGCTGAGACACGGCCAGGAGATCGCCACTGGACTGCACAGCGACAACTCCACCCCTCTGGCAGCTGGAAAAGGGGACCTCGCTTCCGTTTGCAACCGACGGCCACACGCCTGCATCCCTCGTGCCATGCTAGCAAAATCCATGGAGACAAACAAGGGTCGACGTGGCTGATGTGTATAAATCGGTACACTGCTCAGCTTGGACGGTGCAGCTCATCGTGCCAGGGCAGGGTAACAATTACTGCAGCTTTCCAAGGCCTCGGCTTGACGCATGGAGCCTGGAAATGACCTGCAGCCTCTTTGTTGCCGAATAGATTTGCATTCTCAATACCAATTTGGTAGAGAGGGTGCTCGGTGGGTGGGTTTGCACGACTTCCCGATTCACAGAATGCATTGAAGCCTTAAGCTTCCAAGCTGCCGAGTGCAGGGCAACTCCTCCAGTGTGTAAAGCCGCGCTAGCGAAGACCTTCCTGAGAAAACAGATTGTAGAAATCTTCGTGCCTCGCCCCCTCTGGCCAGATCCCGTCTTGTTCTAGGTGACTAGACTAGAGGTCTTGGTCTTCCGGACACTTCCATGGCCAGATGGCTGAACGGCGGACGTCAGATGGCAGCCCGCACGATATCAGTATACCTCCCTCCCAGTTTCTCGCAGCGGCTGTAACAAATCCATCCAAGGATCAGCCCACATTGGCCGACGGCCACAACGCCCCAATTGTTCAAGATTTGCACATCATCTATGTGCGTGCCGACCTCACTCTTGCAGGGAGTTGCAAGGGCAAAACACGAACAGTTCGCCAACACTGAAGCTGCCTAAGAACACAAGCTTCCAAATCTTCTCTCTCGACAAGCGACATGCATTTCAGCCTGCGTTCGGATGGGCTCCTTCCTTGGACGCTAAGGAAGAAAAGACAGGCACACAGAGCATACGGAGACATGGCCAGAAAGACACCTGGATCCATGCACTGAGTCTTCATGTACATGCGAAAGACTCAGACATAGCGACTCTGGGTTGAACTTGTTAGCTTCGCTTACAGGTGCGCAGGACAGCAAGAGGGCATGCATTCCGACATGTACTAATGCAGCTCGCGCAATGCAAACACTAATGCACCTCAAGTAAGGCATACATGTGCTGTGCAATAGCACTCAGCAGAAATTTGCAACGGCTCTCTCCGGCATTTACGGACAAGCCGGCTGCAACTAGATGGGCGATGTCCATGGTACTTACGGCTATCAGGTCTCATGGCACGAGCCAGGGGCACAACCTTGATTGATGATCAACACAGAAGCATGTACTGCTAAGAAACATCCAAACCCTGAAACCATCCGGCACCTCTTGGCTCAGAACTTGAAATCCACCCAAGGCACAGGGCCCCATCCATGTAGAAGTGAACCGTTCCCAGCTCGGTCGCCACCGCCAGCGCCCCGGTGGTCAGCGAAGTCATGGCAACTGCTTTGGCCGTCAAGCTCCTCGCTGGAGTTGGAAACAGCGGACAGCGGTGCCAATCGCAGCTAAAGCCGGAAGGCAGTACTGGAAGTGTTGATGAAGCCGTATACTACCCGGGGCTCGCTGGTGCGCATCGTCGATGAACGAGAATGGATTTATGGCTCATACCTGATTTTCACCTCCTTAGTGTTGTCCTGGCTTTAGGTTGCTCATTCTCTGTAGCTGAGGCATTCCAGAAAGCTAGGGCTTTCCGGGTTTTAAGAGATACACTGCGATACAGACCCGAATCCTCAAGCTAGTAACCGGCTAAGAAATCTTTCTCACGGCAGTCAAGGCACAAGATCATGTCCGGTTCTGCACCTGCCAGACAAGAAACCACTCTTCGGATAACTTGTTGAAAAAGGATAACTTAAGGTCGGCTTAGAGGGCTGCCATCGCAGCAACATGGTCCAAATGGAAGACACCGGAAGCTTCAGGGCAGGGTGGAAACTTCCTAAATTCCTGGTAGCATCCCGAGAAAGCGCCTTCAAGGACTCGTCAAGTGGAACGACCCAGCCCTCCAAGCGCCTGCTGCTAGGGCGGCCGGCGAAAAGACCGACAGGCGAGTCCCACCAACCACCTGTGTCCAAGTCTTGGACAGTGTAAACCCACACTCCCACAGTGAGCTAAGACGTGGTTGTCGCCAGTCAGTCTTGACCTGCACTAACTCCTATGGAACTTCGGGTCCGAAACCGCACCAATGTGGACTGCTTCATGCTCGTTCACTGTATGAATTTTTTCTCGAGGACACATCGGCGAGTGCATTGCGAAATTAAGGGAGCCAACCCAAAACAGAGCCTTGCTCAGCGCGGCTTCTCTGCTAATGCGATTTTTTCAGAAAGGTCAATTGCTGTAACCATGTAGAGGGATGTGTTGTGAATGTCGGCTTTGAGTACGTTGCTTGAGGTGCTGCTTTCACATGAGGCTCGATCTCAAGAAAGGTGACCTAACACGGTTGGATTTATGGCCCGGTCAAACCGTTGCAGCCTTTGCCTTTGGCACGCATCAATGAAGGGGTGGTATCTCGTCATTGTGCAACTTTGCATGATTCTAGAAACTTCACCTGAATTACCATAGCAGTCGTAAATCGGTAACCAGTGTCCGACTACAAGGGGCGGCCAGACCGTGTGGAATTCGTAAGACGGTCCCCTGATTGCAGTTGCCCTCGTTCATGGTACGATGTAGAGTATGTGTATACACGCACATGTCAGAAATATCAGTAGCTAGATAGATAGACAGGCAGAAAGAAATAGAAAGATCAACAGACAGACAGACAGACAGACAGACAGACAGACAGACAGACAGGTAGACGGAGAGAGAAAGAGAGGTAGAGAGAAAGATAGATAGATAGGTAGATAGATAGATAAATAAATAGATAAATAGATAGATAAAGAGACAGAGATAGAGACAGAGATAGAGATAAAGATAATATGGTCAGGCGTCTGGCGTTCCCGGCCCCCCCCAAAAAAAATAAAAATAAAGGGTATGGTCTGGTAGGGGTGGGGGCGGGGGCTGGCGTGTGCTGAGAGTGGTCTGGCCGGTTGGGTGGGNNTGGGGTGCTGCTGTGGGCGGCCAGGGGTTCACAGAGAGGGCCGGGATTTTACGCAAGCCCTAATTACGCAAGCCATAAACCCTATAACGTGGGGAGTGTTCCTGTTTTTATTAACTTTAACCTGTACTACCCAAGCCTAAACCCCGCTTAAATGCAGGAGCAGAGCATACCGGCACCCTAACCAACCCCAAACCCTCCCTAAGCTCTTGTCGACTCTAAGCCTTATGTATGCAGACTGTATGTACGTATGTACTGATGTAAGGCTTTGGAATGAAATGTAACATGTGGTGGCATGTGTACAATGTCATCTCATGTGTGCCTTCCATGATACAGGCATCCCTGCCTGTACATACCTACTTACGACTTCAGTCCCATGTAGCTCTCCGATTCCATCGGTATGAGGGTTTATCATAAAGCCTTAGACCTTAGGCTACAAACTGGGTTCCACCCTCTGCTCCACCGTGCTTGCGACATGTTCACAGTTCACGAGATCCGCCTGAAGAGCCGGAACACCATTGCAAGACAAACGGACCAACAATTCCAGACACCTTTGAGTGTGCCAGTGTAGGCCCCCAACAGCAGTCCAAGCGCTACTCTACAAATTCCATCAGTCCAACACATCGCTGCGAAAGGCACCCCAGAACGTGCACCGCAGGTCAGCTGCGGACTGAGGCGGGAGCATGACTTTTAAAAACTTTTCCTTGGTACACTTCTCGATTTGTCCGTGTCATCCATGCACAGGGGCCACGCTAATCTTCTCTGTATGGTTCCACTTTTGGAAACGGAAACCAGAATCGCAGCCAAAACAATGTGGTGGGAGCACGATTCGGCAGTCAGAAATTCACCCTAACTGTGGCGGCGTATGCGGCCAGCGCGGGACTGCGAAAAGATTGCGATCTTTGTAGTGCACATGTAGAAGATGTGCACCGCACAACAGCGGGATCCGCGGAACCGCCCAGCGCGGTTGCCAGACGTGCCTCGCGCAAACAGCCATCTAAATTCGCGAGCAAGAAAAACATGGGCACATTGACATAGCGGCATAGCACCGCTTAGGACGCTTAGGAAAAAAAACTCGTGCACACGGCCAACAAGCGAATCCCAGCTGACGCTCATGAGCGAAAAGCTTACTTTGGAAGTTTCTGTGCCACTCGTCGTCCCTGAAAATCTGCGTGCAGCAGTACCACCAGATAGCCATCAGGACGGACGTGGAGGCAAAAGATTAGGCCAAAGTTCCTCAGCACAAGCACGCGAAGGACCGCATGCGGGGAGTGAAATTTTGCTGTTTGAGTCCTTGAGGCGTGGTGCGGATCCCCTTCAAAAGCTACGGGCAGCACTGGAATGCACTGCACTTTCAATCACCAGGTCGCGGAAGGAGACGATATCTGCTCAAGCTCGGAATCTGCACAGGATCGAACATCAGCAGCCTCGGAGAGGTGACATCTTGAAGCAAACGGAGGACACCATTGGCTTTTGCGGCATCCATGCCCACTGTCAGACAACATGTAATCGCCTGCTCTCTCGAGTGCGGGCGAAGCCTGCAAGGCCCTCTACAACTTGAAGGCTATGAAGGCTGCAAAGAGTCTGGTGACCACTGGCCACCACAAGGCCACCGTTCTGAAGTGAAACCGATACCTAGGCTGTGGCACTGCATTGCATGAGTTTCGTGCATCACATCATGCCGCAGCATAGCCGTTTGCACTTGTTACTATGGCGGAAGAGTCTTACTCTTGTTGGCCGCATGAAAAAGTATTATGACGGAATGCTGACACTGTTGGATTCCGTCCGGGAATCTGTGGAGAACTTTCGTTGCGGAAAGTTCTGATTTATGAAGGAGCAAAGCAATCTACGCTCCAGTTTTCAAACGCTTGGGGCTCCAAGTCCCGGTCCGAGCACAACGGCAACACGGCGATTCCGGTTATGTAAATTCCAATTCAGCGACATCGGCCCGCTTTTCCCGATTCTTCCATCCTTGGACATGCACATGCAGCAGGACAGTCTCTGGGGTCTGCAATAGCGTGCAATGTGCAACAGTATGCCTGCGACAAGAGGCTACCGCGAGGCTGAAGAAAGCGCCTCCGACGATCAGGCAAGGTTTCCAGGTCGTCCTGGGCCAAAGGCCCAAACACGGTCACCGTGAGGCTGTGATCTACAAGCTGGAGAAACTTCAAGGTTCAATCGCAGTCTCATGAACATATCATAGGTGCAATGATTGCCGGACAATTTCAAGCACAAACCCGTTGTGGAGCACATGAGAGGCCACGAAGTTGAAACAAGCAGCCACCCAGTAACTTTCGATGGTGTACACCGCCACGACCACCAGGAAGCCCTTCTGCCGACGTAAACCGGCAAGGTCGCACTGCTCCCGCTACACCAAGTGACCCGCTGCAAGCATGGCTTTGACCATGGTCCCCGCCTGCGTCGTAAGGGCAGCTGACTTTGCATGGCTGCTGATGTTCAGAGCTGCCTCAGCACAGCAGCTGCGAAAGTTGCGACAAACAACGCTGATAAAAGAATCATGCATGCCCGAGTGCTTTCTCTGTCTTCTGCTTCGACATTCATGGGAGGTTCGAGATCCATTATCGATCGGTCGCATCCTCCCAACCGACCAAAGACGTACGGGTCAACGAGCTGATTGCACGGTGGTTTATCGTCCTTGGGCATTCACGTGAAGAAAATAGGAGGTTTTTGGTGATCTCCATCCGCCATCACCGTCCGCATCATCCTCGTGGACTCTTTGAAGCGGTGGCACAGAATTGCCCGGATCTGCTCGCTCATCTGTGTTTGGTTGAAAGCAGCCCGAGCTCTTTCCGGTTGGGTCGTGAACCACCCTGCTTTTGCTTCCTGTAACTTGGAGATAGGAGTTGCCAACGAGGAACCCAGTCTCTCGTCTCCATTAAGTCATACCAAAGAGAGGCTCTTGCAGCCGGCAGTTTTCATGTGTGATGGACATGCGATCTGCACACTCTTGCAAGCCCTAACGCCCCCGAAAATTGAGCTTGCAGGACAGAACGCCAAGTTCCTGGCTCTTCTAGTCAAGGCCTCGAGCCTGTTGTTGGTTCTGTGCGGCTTGAAGAGCGTGATCAGACCTTGGTCACGGAGATAGGCAAGCCCAGACTGCGGTTTGAGGGAAGAAAGGCACCAGTTGCGCTTACGATGCCAAGACGTCGTGCAAGAAATACGCGAAACGAACCTACTTCAACTACGTTCATGCCTGCAAGACACGCAAACTGAAGATCATGATGTTCAATGAAAGCCCAATCGGAAAGCAAAGGTCGCTTCCTGTAACCATTTCCTTGCCGAAAACAATCGCAAGCTGTCGCCGCCACCACCGGCCAGAGGCCCCTCTGCGCTTTCAGCTCGAGGGACGGCACTGAATCAGAACCTCACCGGAGGGGAGCCTCGGAGCGAAGATTGCATGCTTTGGGGCACTGCTTTGGAGGAAGATTCCGCCATATTCTGCGTCTCTCCCCCTCTGAAGGTATGTCCAGCAGCGAGCAAAGCTTTGGACAGAATTTGGCTTACTGCTGCTATGTCGTCTCTCCTTCCTTGCTCGCCTTTGTTGCTAGAAATGCTCTTGGCGTGATGTGGCACTTGGCTGTGAGCAAAGCTGCCGGCACGCAACCTCTCTTACGAGAACACAAACATAATACTGCAGAAGGAATGAAGCCGAGTTCACACAGACGTTGTGATTCAAAACAAATGTGAACCGAGCGACTCTGTCAGAATTCGAGTGGGCACGGTGCCACACCTGAGCTCGCATTGATAGTGCGAAGCAGATCCAGCTCTGGTCCGACAATCCGATAGGCGACAATCCGGCCCGGCACATTCGAGAACTGCAAACCCGATTGCAGTGGTGCAATTCCTAGCGCTTTCCCGAAGGCACGTAAAGCCAAATCAAATACATCCTTATCCAATTTCACAGTTCGGTGGCTGATTGGGCGTCATCATGATGCGGAAGTCGTGGTCGCTCGGTCGCGAAAACTCTTGCAGGACATAGACCGTCCCATCCTGAAAGGAGGGGTGACAAGTCACACGAGTCATATGACTCCAAACTTCATGGCATGCCTGTCAAGACGGAGCGCGTGTTCGTCGGAGAAAACCGCGGCCATCTACAAGACCCCGAGTTGCTATTACACGGTGCTCTGCGCACCGCTAGTTGCACGTATAGAACACTGTGTTGGGCGGTGGACCAAGCATTGGACCAAGCATACAGTGAAAGCTACAGCCTATAGCAACAGCACGCTCTCCAAGCCTGCAGCGCCACGAGAAGCTCTCCGCTGCGCAGCAAAAGCATGGAGGTGACTGGAAAGCGCATCCTGGCTGACTTTCCAGTTAGCTCAACTTGCTCAGCGGCGAATTGCATGGAGTCCGGGCAGCTCGCTTGTTTGTCGAAGTAGCATTTAAAAGGCGTCCTTCCTCCCAGAGTCAGTTCGTGCGGAGAGTTGACTCCTGCAGCAATGGCCTCACAGCGAGGGTGGACAACTTAGGCCTCCTTGGCACCCCGCAAGTTTCGGTTGGTGGCACAGCAAGTGGCACTGATCAAGTGGGGCAGACGTTGCAGCACGCAAGTGACAGTTACACGAGGCATTACCACGCAACGGCCGAGCCTTCGGCGGCAAGATCATAAAGCTTCCGCGGTTGCGGCCCAGGGCCAGCGAGCCACCAGGGAGGTGCGACAGGCCTTGGAGCAGCTGCGTAAGCCCCCACTGCAGCTGAACGTGGTACTTGCGTTCGGTTGGTCTCCGCTGACGGAACGCAGCATCCACCGAAAGCTCACACGAACAAGTCCCCCCACTCAGCACTGGTCGCGGTGCTCGTGCTCGCTACAACAAGTTCTGGCAACAGCAAGACAAAACCTGGAGAACGAGTGTCCGCAAAGCTATTGGAGCAGGGACGAAGTCAGCATCCATCTAAGTCTCTCTAAGTCTCCACCCATACAATGCCATACATGCGCCATACATGCATCCATGTATCCATGCATCCATCCATCCATCCATCCATCCATCCATCCATCCATCCATGCATGCATCCATGCATCCATCCATCCGTCCATCCATGCATCCATCCATCCATCCATGCATCCATCTATTCATCCATGCACCTACCTACCCATGAATCCATGAATCGATGCAACCCTTCTATCAGCCCTTCTAGCAAGCCCTGCTATAAACCCGGCGATAAACCCGGCTACAAATGCTTCTACCTTAGCACCTCTCTCAACCCTTCTATGATTCTATGATCGGCATCTAGCCAGACGGCTGTCGTTTGAAAGCCAACATGAGCCAACATATTGAAAAATTGTTGGAGCATACAATGTACAGTGAATCGCGCTGATTGGAGGCCGCCGCATCCATGCATGGGAGCTTACAATGGATCGCACCTTGCTGCGGACACGGACACGCCGCGTCGGCTTGTCGTTTCGATCGCAACATGATGCCGAGGTATTGGAACTTGCAATGAATAGCGCTTTCCGGAGGACGCAGACATGCCGCGTCCACCGAGACAGTTGTGCTTTCCAGGCAACATGAGGCCAAGATGTTGGAATTTTACAAAGGATCGTGCTTTCCGGAGGATGCGGACACCCCGCCTCCACCGAGACGGTTGTCCTTTGCAGGTGACATGAGGCCAAGATGTTGGAATTTTATAAAGGATCGCTGTGTTGGAATATACAAAACGTGTCCCGAACATGAATAGTCGCCGCACCACAGCCGGAGCGAGCACGCTCTTACCAGCAGAGCGCTGTCAAATCCGAGCAAATTGGCAGCACACGTTCCGAAATCAATTTATATTATACAATAAAGTTCACGAAAATGTCGCACGATACGATCCATCCAACATCTATACACCAGCAATGTATCCTATAGAAACCACATCCGCGGCAAACCTTCGCTGCGCTCTTGGGGCATGTAGCTCAACATCAGCATGTGCTGTCTGTATCGAGCACATAACGTCACAGGATTGAAGTTCGCGAGGCAATCAATTTGCAGGAAAGCCATGCGGCTGGAAGGGTTTCTTCGCTCAGGTGGGTGGGAGGGTAGGTGGGTCAAGCTCAAACACTCGAACCCGCACAATCGAACATCTGACGTATCAAAGCTGCTTCTGACACACTCAACTCCGTGCCTCCATCCTGCTTGTGCCGCATGGACTTCGTGCCAAGCCGCAGTGGGTGCTTGTGCTGTATTTCTCACCAGTGAGGTGAAGCACAGAGCTTGCGAGCCCACTGCAAGGCAGCAAGTCTTTGCTGGGCAGCCTCGGCCAAGACAAAACACAGGCAGAAAACATCACTGGAATGAAGACAGTCACTACTGAATTGTCAAAGCCACAAGCTCTCCACACAAGCTCTACAGCACCTCATGCAGCATGAGATATGCATGCAACTGGACAGACAAACAGACAGACAGACAGACAGACACACGCGCACACACACACACACCCACGCTCAGACACCCTCTCTGATAAGGCGATGCGTACCAATGACGAAACAGCTCGGTCAAGCCTGATTGCACATGTACTGGATGCAGCATGACTGCATGTCATAAAAGTTGTGACAATCCGCACGGAGGTGCAGCCCGCGAGCTATTACTCGGATCCCTCGCACAGGGGCGGCTACTACAATTACCACCAGGGCTGGCTTCTGTAGTTACGTGACCAAAGCGTGCTTTGGTCACATCCTGATGGGGCTTTTTCGCACCAGGCCGAGTCATGCTTTCCTGGTGCTCGACAGTCCTGTTGAAACCCAGCGTTGTCACGGATCACTAACCTGAGTTGGGTGCAAAGCCCCTGCTTCGGTACAAACGCACGCGCATGCACGCGACCAGCCTGGGATGTCAGGGTTTCAGAACAACGGAGTAGCCCAACTCGCAACTCCTGCGATGTCGCTTCCGGTGCATTGAGAGCCGGCTTATGTCAGCTCTGACCACCCCATTTTGCATGCGCGTGTGTGGCAAGGAGTTTGTGCAGCCCTGTGCCGGGACGAGATGCTAATTCGCCTCGGCTCGGAGCGGTCGGAGCTTCCTACAGGGATCCCTGTTCCGACCACAATCCTTCCTCCGGACCCACCTCCCCCGCACGCCGCCACCCGCCACCCTTCTTCTTCAGTTGCGGCAGGGCTGAGGCAGGCGAGGCGAAGCTGTTACAATTAGCTACACCACCGCGGCCGATGCTCTAGGCTCGAAAAAGCTCCTAGAGCATTCCGAGAGCGTTGCAGCCCTGATCACACCCCAAGGGGGTTTTAGAAGATAACGGTGCCGGTGAACCTGAAACCAAAACCTACTTCGTTCTGACATTATTTCGGGCATTGGCTGCAGTGGGCAATCTAAGGGACGATTCCAGCAAGTCGCCACAACTTGAATTGAAGAAAAAACGATAACAAAGAACGACCAGGCTGCTTTAACGGCGCATGTCATGGTTTGATGAACATCGTTGAAATGCAGGACAGGCACGTGAACAGAGACCTGCCTCGGCTGCCGACAATGGTGTCCTGGGCACTTCGTGGCATCAGGCTTATGCTACGACATTTAGACCATTACTGTAGGCTGTAGTTGCGTCCGTGTCTCCATGTCCAAAGCTCCCAAAGGCACGAAGCTCGTCGCAGGACTTTGACCATACATTGAATCCATTTGCCCCGAATTCCAAAACCCCGACTCCGAACCTCAACTTCAAGCTCCTGGGCTTTGTGCCGGAAAACTTTTTTGATCTGAGAGGCGACCAGCTTACAAACATTGGTCGAGTTTGAAGGCGAGGTCTACGGAATTTGGGGCTCCTATACCTAGCACATCATGGTCGGAGCAAACCTGGGCCTGCAAAGAAGCCCCAACCGACGCTGACCCGAAAACGAAGGAATTTCAGAACCGGAGCGCCGTATTCTTGTCGTATGCAAGTCTGTGGAAGGGAAGCGTGCCTCAGTTTTGGCAACGAAACACACGAAATCAATGCTTGCTTGATGTATGCTCCCTCTCTTCTTCTGCACAGCCAAGAGAGAAAGGAGCGCGCCCCCTTCCCCTGCGCGCGAACGCGCCCTGGTTCTGCTCCCTCTCTCTCTCACTCGCTCTCACTCTGTCTCTCTCTCTCTCTCTCTCTCTCCCTGTTTCTGTGCCCATCTTCTAGCATCACACTCAACGAGTGCAGGAAACACTGGCTCGTGCGCTGTGCCTTCGCGGTTGTTGCCGCCACTCATCTTCCCGCCTCCTTCTCTCATAATACCGTGCACACTACCTCAAGACAGCACAGTGACTTCACTTTGAACTTGTCTCAGCCGAAAAGAGCTCGCAAGAAACGCGCCGGGTCTGTAGCAAGCGCAAGCAAAACGAGTAGGCGCAGTTGTATGTGCCAAGGAGATTCATGCATTAGCACAGGCACGATGGATGCTTATCGGGCTTGGGTTCTGTTCCCGCTGCTATTTCCCGGAAAGCAGGTCTGCCCGCGAGTGCGATGTTGTCACGCATACTGCTGCTGCCATTACCGATTATTTCCCAAACGGTGCGTTGAAACAAACTAGTGACTAACTAGTGGAGCTGGCTACGCTACGAGTAGGTGTTTTCGATCGTTGTTCGCACAAAGTGGCACAAAGGTCACCGCAAGAACCAAAACAACCGCAACAACCGCAACCACCACAACACACAACCCAACAACCAAAAACAAAACAAATATACATAGCGACATACAAACCAAACAAACAACAAAACAACAACCGAACAACAACAGAACAACCACCAAACAACCACCAAGCAACCACCAAACAACAACCAAGCAACCACCAAACAAACGCCAAACAATCACCAAAGAACGACAACAGCAACAAAAAAGCGCGCACACACACACAGAGAGACACAACCATGTAAAAAAAAAATCTGGTCAAGGCGGCGGGACCCAAGCTTGATGCGGAGGACGACTATAGTGGTCAGTTTGGGATGCATGTCTGGGAATGCCCTCATGCAGCAGCAACAGTCAACACATGGACAAGAGCGCTCAATCACTGCCTCGCAAGCCCCGTTTCGAAAGATGACGGGATTAGATGCAGATGCCCAAGCTACGACTCATCGTCCATGGCGCATCGTTTACTGTTTGTGAGTAGTGCCGGAGACTGCGTCCAGTTTCCCTTCCAGGCATCTCCCGTCGCTTCGTTGGCATGGCTAGGGAATGACCGCCATGCCCGCATCACATGTAAACGTGATGGTGAACGAAACACTCGAACAAGCAGACCGAGACGACCGGATCTATCCTTGTTTTATGCATGTACAGCACACTAACACAAACACAAACAGCTGCCTATAGTGGGACGTTTGCCAGCAGAGCTGCGGCAAGCCACCGGGGGCCACTGGCGGCCCCATTCGGAGAAGGGCCTAGTACTGGGACTCTCACTGTTGCCGCAATCTGTGAAAACTCTTGCGCAAAAGAAGGAGAATCCCAGTGGCTTGAAGGGCGGAGGCAGCGCTGCACTGGCCAGCCATACCTGATGTCATGAACCCTTACTCTGCCCTCCTGCTGAAGCTCCGACATGCTGCCGGCGTAACCAGGAGGACGGATAATCCCCACATGCTGGGCAGCAGGTAGCCATGGCAGGAAGCGCGCGCTGCTTCGGCAGGATACGAAGATCGTAGAGCATTTCTTCCGGACCAGCTGCGCTGTAGGATGCTGAGGTCTGTCTGAAGCTGAGCTGCTTTTTTCAGGGGGCCTGGTGGCAACAGCAGTAGGATGATGCTTTGAAGCTTTAGGCGTTGCGGCCTTGAGACAGACCTGAAGGACATGCGCCCACAGACCGCTCACAAGCTGAAAGCCTACCTAGCCTAACCCTAATCTAAGCGGCGATACCTGTACTGGCGTAACCAAGGCCCGAGCACGCCTGCGACACTCCTGGCTTGCGAGCACCCTGGCTTCTCTGCAGAGAGAGCTCTGAAGCAAATGGACACTGCTCCATTCGAAGGTCCTCGATGATCCACTTGGTGGGATCTTGCAAAACAGCCTCAGCGTTGGCCTGGTCCAAGTCATTGAGGATCCTGTCAGATGATGATGAAGATTGATACAACGCAAAACTTCTGTAGGAAACCCGACGCCTACGCACGCTTTTCGAGCCCAACCAGTTCAACAGGTCTCCACATGGTCTTGTGTCGGGTCTCCCAGCGCGGATGCCAACAACTCGGGTCGAACTGCCGGCTCGGTAAGCTACAAAAGTTTCTGCAAGGAGGCATTGGAAACAGAGTCACAATCCTTGTGAGGACAACATTAGCGAGTCAATGCAACTGTTCTGAAAAGTGTTGCGGGCCCCTTTCCATCATTGCAAGAGCACTGACAACCATGAACGAACAGGCTCTGGATAAGTGGCATATGCCACGGCTCGACATTTACAATGTCAAAGCTGGTTCGTTGGCCCCTGTGGAAAGAATGATGTGCGTTCGTTTTAGCTCACGCTCGATTTGCTCGAGCCATCCTTCGCAGTAGTCTTGCGAGCCAGCTCTCTATCCTCCCAATCGCATCGAAACATTCCCAGATTATCGGTTCAGGGAGCACATGCTGTTTCAATGCTAATCATGCGATGCACACAAAAACTCGGCAGGTTCGAAACACCGGGACAAAGCATAGCACCGAAGCCTATCGCAGCTGTTGAGCCCGAAAGGTTCCTCCAAGGCCAAAACCTCATTCTCCGAAAAAGCCTGCCTCATGGCCACCCGGGGGTCGGTCATGCCCAGGGTCTGAATCACTTCCTCAACGGCCGAAAGCTGGGGAGTTCGACAGGCCGCATGACGCATGGATAACATCCGGTCTGATCTAAAGAACATCACTCGCAACCATCCATGCACGCAGGCACTCAGCCTTAACGTGCTGGCTCCCGGACTTAAGACCTGCCGTCCTGGAAACGGATCGGCGCCAGGAGGCCTCCGTGGCGATTGTACCTGTTCTTCTCTTTCACAAACCCTACATATAGTTACTTGGCGGCAGCCATCATCTTCCACGACTGCTACCCCCTCCATCCCCCTCCTTGACTGACCATGGACCACAGGACCACACCCGCCGCAACCACTGCACCGGCGTCCAATCAAGCATCATCACTACCGACAACCGCCGCTGCCACATCCATCATACTTTTCACCGTCACCATGTGACCAGCATCACGACGGTCGACTAACAACATGTGAGCATGATAGCGTGCACGTTCAATGTGAGTGCATGTTCTCAGCACTATGGCGAGGACGAGGATTTCACCAGTGGTGGTCACCCTTCCGAATCGGCTACGCTATGATGCACATGCATGGGAGGGTCTAAAACATCTGCGTGTGGCAAGGCTCATGCCATCTTCCATTGAGCATCTGCAGATACTTGCTCTCTGTCGAGTGTGTCGTCTGAACTCAAGTGCCGGAAACAATTGCAGAGGGCGCCAGTTGATGGTCCTCTTCATCTTGGCACGGAACCTGTGCCACACAACTGCGATAGTTCAAGGAGGACTCGAAGATCACGGAATTGACTATCCGATATCCTTGAGGCGCATCCTTTCGAAAAGCTGCATTGGCGGAACCTCTGTACTGTCTACATGGGCTCCAGCCCAGCCGTTTTGTGGTGGACTCCAGGCCAAGGCACTCATCGGTCTCCTGCTCTTCTCCTTCGTCAGCCTTGCCTGGACCAAAAACGCAGAAAGTCTGCATCTTCACAGGCAGAGCTGAACGAGTCGAGCCTTTCGGCCGGAATTTTCGCCCCTTATCCGGATTCAAGCTACATGTTCTGATTGCGAGCAAGCCACCTTTTCCAGCACCTGCAGCTGCGGCTGGATTGCTCACGTGCGACGGCAAATGTGAACTCCAAGAAAAACGACGTGTCTGGTGCACTTCATTGGTGTGTGACAGGTTTACCTCCACCAGGCCCTCTGCTGTGACGTTTCTTGAAGCGTTGGTCCGGTGCGGAAAAGATGAAGCAACATGTGCCAGCAACTCGTGACGGGAAACGCCATGACCCACACTGCTGGCCTTTGTTGCCTCCTGTCTTGTTGTTCTTCTCATCGAGTTCCTCGGACTTCTGGCCTAGGTGTAGAAGAGATGTGCCGAGGTTTCGTGGGCCATCAGGGCAACCTGGCAGGAAAACATCAAAGCCAAGGCGGCGACTGCGCCATTCGGGTACGGCATCCTTGCTTGCAGCCTCAACTTTGCCTTGGCAGAATCTGAACCAAACCCGCTCAAAGAAGTTTCCCTGCAACATCGCTACAAGAATGAAACCTTCAAAATGCGCACTTTTCACACAGCCAGGCAACCCTCAGCGCCCTAAATCAGAAGCACAAAGCGGAATGCAAGCCGGGAGCCGTCGGTCTTGTTGTTGCCCTTGTGGTCGCCGTCCTTCTCTCCTTTGCCGTCTCCCTGTCATACATCGCAAGCTGACGGCTCAGACATATCGCGTTTCTTTTGATTTACTTAGGACCAGCGAAGCAATCGTTACCTGATAGCTTTCTCTGCAAGTCGGCCCGGCCTTGCCCTTGGTCTCGTTTGCCTGCTTGCGCAGCTTCGCCTCCATGCGCACTGACCCTTTACATCTCCCCTGTCCCCAAAACCTTCTGCACCTGCCCCGCGGCACCCGAAGACCTTCTCCCCTCCCCCCCAATCTGCCCAACCTGATTGATGATCCATCCGGTAGGGTCTGTCAAAGTCTCCTGGATTCCCGGCGGGCGGCAGAGCGGGGTGCTCATCATTTTGGGCTCTTGACAGGATGCATTGATGATGCTATCAGCTTTGTAAAACTATCATAAACTCTCGGTTCCACAATGATGTCGACACACCATCCAAGAACGACGCCACTGGCCCTCGCAGCCTCAGCAAGTGCCACCAATGTCTGACAATTCCCTATGTTCGTCCTTCGCTTGCTGGTCCAAATCGTAGAGGATCTTCATCGCCTGAAGAAAACGTCCGTGTCTCGACTCCAGAGGCCATGGGCCATAGGCAAGGATCGCATGGGTCAGAAGCAAACAGTTCTCTGCATGGCAGCGTGACCGGCTACGAGTACTTCATAAAGACAATATATGACAATGGTGCCTCACAGGATCCAATCCTCCAGCTTCAGCATTTATTTCACCAAGCGCCGGGGATCGCTTGGTACCCGTGCAGATAAAACCCCTGATCTTCCAGAGCTCGGGAAGCACTGAGCATCCCTGCCTGGAAAAACTTGGGGCGACTCCTGGATTGGAATCCCAAAAGATGAATTTCTATAGTCTAGATAAATTCATAGAGCCCCTGCAGCTGTACATGGCCAGTTCTGCACACAGCCCTGCAAACACCACCTGCATCCGCAAGCGGTGGACTCGTCTAAAACATGAGGACCACCTACCCCTGCGTGGGAGCCTAATATACAAAAGACCTCCCAGGAATTGGTGGACTCACTATGCCACTATGCTGGATTTTGCCGGCATAAAGCGCTGAATTCGACAAACTTGAATGACCCCATGGCCCAAAGATTTGAAATCATCCGTCTATGGGATGACCATCGTCGCGTAGTCAGGCTGCTTTGTGGCGTTCACAGAAGGGCCCCTGGTGATGTTGGAGTCAGGCGGATGCCCGGTAGTGTTCCTCACACCGGTCGAGGCGTTGGCTGTGACATTGGCCTTTGCTGGTTTAGTGGGTTGTGCCGGGAGGAGCTGCACCGAGGAGTTGGGATCGACCTTGATGCTGACTGTCCCGTTGATGTCACTCCCCTCCAGGTCCACCTTGCCACCGTTCCAAGCCTGAACAATGGCATCCCCGATCACTCCTGAGCTGATGGTTATGTTGGCATCATCTGCAAGGATGAAGTGAGAGATGTTTGGATTTGCCTCCATTCGCGCGACTGTGAGATTGCTCTTGCCATCTGCTACCACGGCTCCCGTAACGTTGTCCACCCAAACATCCGCACCGCCCGTAGCTGCCACGGCTTTGAGTGGTTTCGGCACTGTGAGAGTGGCAATCTGGCCACCTTTTGGCCAAGCAAAATGCTGCCGAACGGCCCGGTCGTCCATACCCAGAAGCAGGGTGGAGCCGAAGGTCATGGCTTGAACCTGAGACTGCACCGTCCAACCGAGGCCCATGGAGTCTGCCGCAACCTCAAGCACGGGCTTCAGCCGAGCCGAGTCTGTAACGACATGGACCACCATCGGTGAACTCACCTGGAGCCGCTCGAAAGGTGCCAGCCAGTCGCGCGTCGCAGAGACCAAAGCGAGCTGCAGCAGGCAAAACGCTACAGCGACCATCCTGAAAGCACCGGTCAGGACCACGGTTTGATCGACGCTTAATGGCCAGTACTCGCATGAACGCATCAAGCACAGAACATGTCGAGTCTTGTGCAGGACCTGAGATCTTCAGCACGCGGCTTGGAGGTCACTTTCCGTAGCCAGCTGCCCCGAAACGCCCGACCTGGCCTGGGACGGCTTGATCTCCGAGAGATGCTCATGCACCTCAGTTGGAGTGGGGATTGCAAGAGACTGCTCGCATGAGCGGGATGCCCAGGCCACGGCCGCATTGAGACGGATCTGCTCTGCCAGCTGTCCATGCTTGTTGTACCAGTGCACAGTCCTGGCAGCGCTTCCTCTGCTTGGGTGCTCTCGAAACGCAAGGCCGGAGATGGAGCTCGCATTGATGGATATTTTTGTCCAGACTCGGTTCCACCCACATCCTTTTTCGCCACGGCGCTGCGCTGTGATATTCACAGGGCTAGCAGTCTCAGACTTCGGGGGAATAGTTTCGTTGGTGATGTTGCTCTGCAAACGGTTGCCTAACAATCACATGTTTTTTCTCGGTGGAAATTTTGAAGCGTCCAACTCGTTCACATGTCTGCCGAAACTCCAGGTAGAGAGATGTCAGAGCTGTCCCGAAATACTGCTAGATCGAAAACTAGCGTCTGTTGCACGCAGCTGCTTGGCGTTGCCGCTGCTTAACTTGACGACATATCCTAGCGCTATTCTCGTGGAGTCACTGTTGTGAAACTCAGACGCTCATCAGCATCCTGACAGCATCCTTAGCTGTGGCGGGCATGAGGTTTGCCTCTATTCAACTCCCGATTTAGGCTGTGTAGGCCTCTACGACTCCAGCGGACGACCTTCACACTCTAGCGCGCCCAAGTCTGATTGCCATCGCGGCTCCGCGATCGCGAGGGCAAGTCTGCATCCTCCAAGCGCGGAATCCGTGTCCGAGGTTTACGATGCTCGATAGCTGATACAAGCTGAACATGTCGAAGCTCAGCAACCCAAGGAGCACCTGGACCTAAATCACTCTTAGATACGAACCTTCTGCTTTGGCATCTTGCGCTCCCACCATGAGTGCGGAAGATCCCTGAGCATCCCGACCCCGCCCTGGCAGACCTTGAAGCAGTCGGACAACTCTCGCTTCCCCTTCAGCACCTCAGCGGCCACCTGTGATGTTGGCAGACTTTGAAGGCCCCCCGTGATGTGCTGAGAGGATTGGGCCTGGCCCTGGCCTGGTGCATGCGCCTTTGCCGCTGCCTCCGGGCCAGGTGCTGCTGGGCCCGCCGCTGGAATTCCTGGGTTCCAGTCGCTCAACTCCTCTCCAGAAAAAGGTCCCCCGCAAAAAAACCGATAAGGGCACTTCGTTTTGACCGGGCCTTCTCCCGGTCGTTGCTGAGCGCTTCCTCAGTGGAGTCCTGCGCGAGAGGGCAAGTCGCTGCTCTCTCACCCAGGAAAAGCCCACAGGGTGCAATCCACACTGAATGGAAAGTGGGAAATGGAAGGATGGCAGCATTAAGAGCCGGCATCAGGCGCTGTCCTCCGGTGAACGGGAAACCTCGAAGAGCCGCCAGCCAGTCACCTCAACGTGCCCCAGGCCCTAGAAGCCCCAAAGAGCACAAGACTCTTACTCTAGTTCTTGACCTCCTTCTCTCTCGCACTCCGTCACAGGTCAGCCGCGAGCAGAACGGCGATTGTGTGTGTGTGTGTATATACATGTGTATATATATATATATGTGCACCTACAGACATAATGCGAGAGCCAGAACTACCGAAGCTACCAGGTATTACAAGGACCTCCTCGTGTGCCGTGCCCGGTTTTTTCCTGGGTCTCTTCCATGCCGCTTTCAGGCAGCCGTTTCAAGTCGAGCGCGTGCATAATCGACCGCATGAGCGTGCCATGCGATTGCACCATGGACAAGTCTCCATGTATTCAGAAATCGAGGAATAAACGAGGGCCAAGACCACATGTAAGGATCCAAGTCAAGACTACTCAAGCCAGCCTGACCTGTCCACACATTAAGTGGATTGTGCGATATTGTGCGTCGACACGTCCAGCTCCGTCGTGTATCAATGTTCCGTCTCTCTACAGCGGAGGCTGCCCGGTGCGCTTACAATCTCTTAAATCTTAAAGTTAAGCTTCGCTCGTGCATCCGGACCAAAATTTGGACTAAAACATACAAGCACAGCTTTCCAAATAAAATGATCGGTCTGCTCCCCTGACGTCCCTAAATGTCTCAGCGCACCTGGTCACTGGACGCGAGCTCCTTCCTGTGCTGGCGGGCTGTCAGCTTCGGTGGCTTGCTGTCTTGCAGTCTCAAGCGATGAAGCTGGGGGAAGTTCATCATGCTGGAGTCGTCTAGGACAGCACGGGACTTCTGCACAGCAGAACTGAGTCAATATCCGATGCACATGCAAGTTCTCACGCTCGACTCCTTCTCGTGACTATCTTTCTATGAATCTGAATAGACCCCATCCGGGTGGGTTGGCAACAGAAGGTGGAACTGACCCCACTGAGACTGACTCGAGCGAGTCTGGACTCCGATGAAAACATGACATTACGGACAGCAAGACAGATCCCAGCAGCAGGTACTTCAGCATCAGTGGACCACGGAACTTGCTGTACAGCTTGCGTACGTTCTCCTGGGCAGAGGCAGGCTGTGCTCGCGACGACAACTTGACAACGCCTCTCGCTAGTCCACCCAGCACCCAGCACCCCGCTGCTGTCCGGAATCTCGTCGCGCACGCGCGGCTCAGCCAAGCGAGGCGACTGGGCGACAAGAACAAGTCTGAAGCTGTCTGACGCATTTGGGGAAAGGAGGGGCAAAGGCTTCAGGATGCTTGCACCATCTGGCAGTACTGAGCAGACAAAATGCACTCGAAGTCCATCTCCCAACTTGTATTCACAGCCCGGCGCCCCAGGGCCCACTGTCGGCTCCTCACACTGCTCGGGTGTGGGCGTGCGGTCTTCCTCGGAATGTGCTCCGGGCTCAGGACCAACGGTTTGCATCATGCAGCAAACCATGCGGAATGCGAAATTGACACCCAAACCTCAAACCTACGAGGGACCATTCTACCGAACTCCCTCCCTTTTTCGGGTGCAGGAGCGATCACCATCGGTGCCGTGACAGTTCGCAAGCTCGCGGTGCTGGGGACCTTGGCTGCTGGGTAGCATGCTGGATACCAGCTGCCGAACCTCGAGCAAGCTTACGCATGCTTACGCCAGCTCGCATGCACACGTCTCAGTGATCAGGATGCGTGGCCTCTGTACCTCTCCTGTGCTTCCTGCAATCCGCAGATCTTGAAAAAGCTGGCTCTCTGGAGCCAGGAAGCAGAGGTCATGAGGTTCATCGAGGTGTGGCTGGCCTCTCGGGCGCCCAAGCTCTCGGCCTGGCCAAAACCCCCAAGGAGCTCTTAGAGAGAAGCTTCCCCAAAACCCCAAAACGGCCCAGGCACCAGGTCCGAGCGCGCGCACGGCTTGCGAGGCCGCGGCCGCAACCGTGCGAGGCGCAGCTGCCGCTCCTCGTGTCCGCAGGGCTCCCTCAACTGTGGACCACACGCGCAAAGCTGCAAAGCATCAAAAGGGAGGATCGCCCCCTTCTCGTCTACCCACCACACACTTCGAAGTCTCAGCCACACCCGAAAATGCACCTTGAAGCCCTCGCTTACGTTGTAACCAACACCGTCCTCCTTCTTTGCGGCCTTCTCGCGCTTGACGTAGTCCAAATACCTGAGGCTCGGAATTTTAGCGTGAACCTAAAACATGCACCGTTGTCAGTAGATGAGCTTGTTCGTCTCCAGCCTACTGGAAAAAGCGACATCAGCCTCTGCACTATAGTACAGATATCCCTTTCTGATCAGCTCTGCCTGGCCAAGTGCCCTCAGGTCACACTTGTGCCCTTGCAATTCGATGCGTTTGGACATCCAATGGTGAAATCTCCGGGGTGCTCCTGGATGAGTTTCATCTCTTCTTCACGCCGCAGCTGCGCGTCCTCGGCAAGTGCAAGGAACGGCGAACGGCATGCCTGCAGCTTTTCTCTGTCGACTCGAAGAATCTAGCGCTACAAACCCCCGACGAGTTGCCATGATTACAGATTCCATGGCCTTTGCTCCAACTCCGCTCATTCTAATGTTTGGGCGGGGGGGGGTAGAGGCTGAAGGCAGCGACAAAGAGCTCTTTTTGGACCTCCAGCTCATGCACTTGGCAGGGCGCTCATGGACCCACCACTTCTCCACAAGTGCACGTTGCTGGTCAAATCCAATGCAACCCAACCGAGCAGTGCACTTACGGCAGCCGCGCACGACATCCTGACAGACAGGTTCCCTCCGCAGCCCAGCTGCCCGCATTTCCTGCTGGCGCCGCCTCCGCCGGTGCAGAGCCACCCTTAGGTACTAAGGTCTGGCAAGCGACACTTTGAGCCACGACCTTAATAAGCCAGGAAGCCCTCCTGCTTCCTCCGGCATCTTGACAGCGGCCACCCGAAGAAGGAATCCCTTAAAGTCTTAAAATGTGTGGGCCCAGGGCTTACCAGGAAAGGTTAGGCTGCATCAGCTTTTCTCATTCGAGCGATGTCGCGGATGTTCCAGACCGATAAACCTTGCAAGGCAAGCTCAAACTCAAACCTTTCACGGCAACCCAAATGAACCCCTAGGCCGGCCCCACCATTGGGGGTCGAAAATGCCCCGCACTAGCTGTCTTGAGCCAAATGCATCAATCACGCAAGCAAGCGTGAAGCCCCTGTGCGGCCTGCAGGAAATCGGAAATACAGCATATTCTCTGGCTTGGGAAGCATTCGCCACTCACTTAAGAGAATCCCGCTTGAAAGCCGAGGGCTTTGTCATGATGCGCGCCGATGGGAACAACGGCGGCAAGCGCTGTGATGGGATCCGCAAAGCTGTCTGGACCATGTCCTCTTGAGCTTCTGGAAGAACTCATCTCCTTCCCCGTCTGCTGGCGCCGCTCCTGCCCGAGCCGCATGTCGGTCGCGGACTCATGCCGCAAGAGATGTATGTGTGAGAGAGAGATCTGCATCTGCAGCCCTCCCGTTGGGCTGGCTAATGGGCCTTCACGTTGTCGGAATAATTCCGTCGTCCTAGCTTATGATTGTACCCGATCAGGCCCGTCGGAACATGCGCCTCTCAGCAAGATGATAACAATCACCTGCTCGTCCCCATGATTCCCCCGAATGCAGATTTCGTCCGGTTTACTAACTTCACCAGGCTGTGGGGTGGCGACGGTGCTCACCGGATGGAAACCAAAAGCGTTTTGCACTGGACGCTTTACTAGAAACCAACACGCGCCACTGAATCCTACTGTGCTGTTTGGGATTCGTTGAGGCTGCAAGCTTCTCGTTACCGTGTGGAGCCGTTCCGGCCTTGGTTCTTTGCGGCCGCTGTGCCCCCGACTTTCCTCGGAAAAGCAGGAAGCGCACACGACTAATGAACACGTGTGCACACATCCCTCGTCTCACCGGTGCACCAAGCTCGGCGCTGCTTGTGGTCTTGCAGCTTGCGCAGCCTTGGTCAGCCGCAGTTGTGAAGAGTCCGATGCTCCCATATCCCCACAAACTAGCTCCGACTGCTACTGCGACGGTAACTACTAATGCATACGAAGACCACTACTGTACCATCCCTATTGCTTCTGCCACTTGGTGGCAGTAGTACAAATAGTAATATTAGCACGAGAAGCGGTAGTAGTAGTAGTAGTAGTAGTTGTTGTTGTTGTTGTAGTTGTAGTTGTAGTTGTAGTTGTAGTTGTTGTTGTTGTTGTCACCCACTTGGCACGACTGTGCCAGCACTGCGGGGCTACAAGTATCACAAGGCTTACAGAGTCGACTAGTCTCTCAAACCCGACAAAACAACCCCAGCGCAGAGAAGAAGATGTAGTAGCAGTAGTAGTAGTAGTAGTAGTAGTAGTCGTGGTGGTGGTGGTGGTGGTTGTCGTAGTAGTAGTAGTAGTAGTAGTAGTAGTAGTAGTAGGAGGAGGAGGAGGAGTATAGGAGTAGTAGTAGTGGTAGTAGTAGTAGTAGTAGTTGTTGTTGTTGTTGTTTTTGTCACCCACTTGGCACCGACGGCACTGCGGGGTCTTGACTATCCGCGAGTTTCCGGACATGCAGTCTAGCATAACGAGGCAACAAAGCCAAAAGCCACACCAGGATCATTTGCCAGACTGCATCTCCAGGGAAACCCCCAAAATGTTACGATGACTGTCTGTTCATGCACTCTCTCCAACATTCAGGGACGTCGTTGAACTATTGATTATACAAGTGGTGATCTCCCATGCATAACAACAGACCAGGCAGGCCAGAAAAACCTTTAACTTAACTACTGGCTGACCAACAGATACCCAACCCAAAACTATCACGCAGTGATCACAGAGGCATGCGAACAGCTCAAACTTGGTCTACTGTTACCACGGCTGTACTTCGTCATTGCATCGTGTCCATGCGAAGTATGAAATTTGTTCGGGCAAGTTTGGAGTTTCCCATTTCGAAGTGACACAAACATGGACCTGCATGGTTTAGTTTCCCCCAGACGACTAGACTAGCGACTCGCGACAAATAGTTAAAGGCTCGCCAACACATACCCAAACCACAAGACCCTGAATCTGGGACGAACGTACCCAGGTCGCCCGATCTACTCAGAGAGCTCAGTACCTCTCCTTGCCCGGCAGCATCATCGCAAGTCAGCTACGAGCTTCCGTTACAGCACAGGGCAGGGGTGGCCAGCAAGCACTTTCTCGCATGGTCAGGATGTCTTATTCCACAATCCACGATTGCGCGTTGCTGGCCAGCCAGTTTTACAGCAAACTCCGCAGGGAAGGGAGCAAATGGTGAAGCAAAAGTGTTAGGATCGCGCAAATACCGCGTAAAGCGGAGGTGCTGCTTTCTCCTTACACTGCTACTGCCACTGCAACCACTACCGCTATTGCTTCTGCCCAGGCTGCTACAGCCATCCCTCCTGCTCCTGCTTCTGCTCCTTCTCTGTTACTGCTCTGCTTACTGATACTGGTTTACCGCTATACGGCCACCGCTACCGCCACGGCTGCCGCTCCTCCTGCTGCTGCTAGGCTCCCATCGCCACGGCTGTTACTGCTGCTGCCACTGCCACTGCCACGGCCACTGCCACTACC